TTTTCTAGAGCTTTGCATGATCGCTACTTATATTACCCGTGCACAAAGAAGAGAGGAAGTGAGCAGTGTGATATGAAAAAAGTTACCTTTTTCCACTGTTCGGGCTGTTTTGGGCATGCCACATAGACAGGCCTAAGCACCTCCCAGAGGGCGCTGCATACCTCGGGTATTATCTCGCAGCATGTTGACCTTGCCGTCAAGAAGTTGTAGGATACGCTTCTCAACGTCTCCCCAGTGGCCTTAATAAAAAGAAAAAAAAGAGCAGTAATAAAGAAATAAGATTTCTGCCAAGTATACATTGGGCAGAATTTAATTAATACATTCATATTGAAAGCAGAACTACACTTAACATCACCACAAATCAGAATATTCCCCGACTGCTGGGAATGTTTTGTCACAGAGGCAAAAGAATGCGTCTATAAACAGGCGCTGACTAAACCATAATAACAACATGGAGCAATTACCATTTATTTTTTTTTTTTTAATTTCCAAATTTTCGCGTCAACGATGTCTGCTCCCCTGCATCTGTATTATTGGGTGTCCCATCATCAACGGGATAGAGATAATTCACGACGGCTAGAATTGACAAATACCTCAGTACAAGCCATTAATTACGAAAGTACAGCCTCCAGATTTTTCAACAATATCGCGCGAACGCCGACCGGCCGGTCGAGGCGTACACGAACGCCTAGCCTCGCTGATTTCCTATTTCGTGTTGGTCTACCAGCCGGTCGGCGTTCGCGAGACATCGTTAAAACCTTTGAAGGCTGTACATGCGTCTGCATTCTTTGCATGACTACACATTTTTCCTTATATCCCGCATTCAATCTAATGCTCCCTACTTCGCTGGCAATTACCTGATGTCGAGGGCGAGGCGCACGTCCGGAGGAATGGCCTTGCGGAAGTTTGTGTCCTCTTTCCTGATTCTGTCGCCGATCAAGCCGAGGATTGTATCGAAGGCGCTGGGAGGAATCCTCAGGAAGCTGGTAACATAACGTCATATGCATGATCGATCTGGGGTGTTGTCTTTTCGCGAGTAGGCAATGCAAAAGCGAACGAATTACTTACTCCCGGTAGTACTCAAGGCCCCGCTCGCGAAGAAGGGGAACGAGGTTCGCCCCCTGTCCATTCTCGTCACGGTCACGGAAGCAAGGACGGACACACCATCTACGAGGAAGACGCCGCTCGCTTCTTTCAGCGGACGCCAAAACTAGCGTCACCAAAGCAACTGCAACAGCTTCTTCGTCACTGCCGTCGCTCGTGGAGTCGTCCATGTTTCTTTCCAAGCCGCAAGCCGAGAGGATTCGGGGCTTCAGTTTGGATTGTAGAGCAGAGTGGATTTTGCATTGTAAAACATGGTTGCCAAACGGAAGTCTCGAAAGATGGCGAAGCGATCGATAACCGCCGAGAAACCGCCGATCGCGTTCTGGTGTATGTGAACGGAGCCGTTCGCCAACCGCATCCGCGACCGCTTCGCAAACGCGGATCCGCTTCCAGTGTGAATGCGCCATAAGAGCTGCGCTCTAAAAAACACGCACACAGGAGAACGCAGTGTTGCTATCATGGCGGTGTCGAAAGACTTGGCTGCCAAAGTTTCTGTGGACTGTCATGGTGGTGGGCGACCTGCTGCAGCAGAGGCTTCTGCCAGATCCGCTACCGCTGCTGCGACTCTGCTTGGGCGTAGAGTCAATATAATCTTCTAAAGAAAAAGGTCTGATGCATTCGGGTCGCTTGGGAACGGCGGGGCATAGACGCGGACATTGGTGGCCCCAGCCTGTACTAGGTGATACCGATGAGCCCATGTCGCTGGCGACGCCTCAATCTGCAAAAAAATGCGAGGAAACATCGCCTGGAATGTATGTACCTAGTTCTAGCGTACGTTGCGAAAAAAGCACCGGAATTGGGCATTTTATATATAAAAAAAGGTAACAAGTTCCCGAGTAACTCCAACTCGTCTAGGAGGCAAAACAAAACAAAACAAAAAAAAAAAAACAACGAAACAAAACACGCCTAACCTCTTCTTTTTTTTTTTCTGCTCCTTTGTCGCCTTTTTATTCTTCTTTCTCTCGGGACCTTCGATCTCAGCGTTTAGGATTTGCCGCGTTCTGCTCCCGTGTTTACCCCCCTGCCGCTAGGATCGCGGCCGGCGAAAGCATGGCACTTGTATGACGTCATCGGGCTGAAGTGATGGGACCACTTTTCATGACGCAGTAAACACGCCAGTCGGAGACCCATTCCAAGCACCGTACAAAGGAGTAACCAACTAGTACCATTACTAGTTCCTCGCTCAAGAGTAAATTGAGTGTGTTACTGGCTTCGCATTCTCACGAGGGAAGCCTTTTCTCGTTTCCTGTTGCTACTCAAGTTATAGCAAACTGGAGGCTAACATAAGGCTAAAAAGAACGTAGAAAAATGTGAAAGGTTCATTGGAATCCCCAAAGGGAACAATTATATAAATGAGCCTAGGAAACACGCAAGAACTTGTAAAATGCCATAAGAACTCATGCACGACTTATATAAATGCAATCGCGTTCACAATATGATTTTACTTGTTTACAACTTTGCAAGAAGCAATTATTGTTTTTTTAAAAAAAATAGGATAGAGCTAGTGTATTAAGATATGAGAGCAGCTACATTGGTTCCTACATTTTGGATCCCTCCCAGTTCTTTCTTTTGGCGCGTCTCAACCACGATCAAACTACAGCACGGGTATGGCTAAGGACAAAATTGGAATGTAGGCGTTACTTTAAAAAAAAACATGAAAGAACAGTGTGACTTCTTACTCAGTTAAAGAGTGAATGAAGAACGTTAAGTTTTATTAAAATGAATCGTAAAAAAAAATTAAGATATTTTTTAAAGCATGACATGCTTTTTCACGCTACCCCCATTCCCAGAATTATGTTCGTCTGTCCGTTCGCCCGTCCGTCCGTCCGTGAATTTCCGCTAAATTTGGCGGAGAACGACCTTGAGGAAATTGACGGCGCGGGGCCTATACGTCAACCCAGTTTCCCCGCAACATTTCTGGGGAAAATCAACGTCTTTTGGTGAAAACATAAATTCAGTTCCGCCGCTAAATTCAGCGAGGAATCGACATCAAGTGACCTATACACCAGTACAGTGACCCCCAAAATGTAACGGGAAAATTCAGGTTTTGTGACCAAGTCCCCAATCCAGTTTTCCCGCTAAATTTAGCGGGGCCAGTTGACGTCATTTGACCTGACATTACGTGACCAGCACACCGATTCACATGCCCCGCTAAATTTAGCGGGAAAATATACGTCACCTGACGTACATTGATAAAAGCGGGTTGTTTATACCGTAACGACTGTTTAAACATCTTTCAAACGATTGAAGCGATTGCGCCTAAAAACATGTTTTTATGCATTATAGGGCTGTGAAGGTAAATGTCACTGCCAATTTTCTAATATAACTAACTAAATTAAAACGCGTGCACGATCTACTGCAAACACTTATCTCTAGTATAAGGGGCTGGATGGCGCATAGCTGGTCTCCGAGCCTGGCGCAAGTGAAGCCACCGGAAGTTGATTCTTGTCTTGGGAGTCGAGCGTCTGCTGGGCTTTCTGGTGCATTCAGTCGATGTTTTGGTCCGTGCTTTCTTGTGTTCTTTGGAGGGATTTAATGACCCCGCTTTGAATTAAATCCCGAGGACAAGCCATCTGAACGTGGGACAAATGCATACTTGATCGTCTGGAATCACAGAATTTTCACATCAAATGGCTTCCAAGGAGACTTCTCGGGTCTGCTTCCGCCGTTACTGCGCAAAAAGCAGGCTGTCTGGAGGTGACCTAGATGAATAGAAGTCTTAGTTTTCTCCCGCAATGTGAGTCCTGACAGGAAACGAAAGCAATAGTTGTGCCACGGTCCCCCGATGCGGCTGGAGTGGTGCCGTCACGTACCCGAGGACGGAGTTGCGACGTGGTTAATTCTCATCGCCGTCCTGGTTGGCGTCGTGGATGCCACGGACGACCGTAACCAGATCTCGGTGATCCATAAAGTATGTGGGTATGTGGTCTGGAAGCTTCTAAAACCATCGAACGTCACGCGTAGTGACTTGATACAGCCAAAGTGGGACTTCGCGTAACGCGAGTGATGTTTGTAAAGAAATATTTTGGAGCAGACGACACGGAAGAATCTCCTTTTGTTGCACCGTTAATGGCGGAATGCGGGGGGTTTGGCGACGGGAAAACCCGACTTCTCCGGCCTCGCTCCAAGAGCGGAGAGAAAGGTTTTTCTGTAGCGGCGACGACAGGAGACCTGGTCGAAATCTCTACAAAGTGTCGCCCGTAAAGGTATCGCTTTAATGGGGAGTTTTAGTAAACCGTGTTTCCCTCTCTGCTAGGACCCTCCGCTACCCGGAACTCTACAGCCAAAGCCATCGGCACGCAGGCGCAGGGACAGTTTCTTCGTTGAGGAGGGCTTAGCGGAGGGCTTAGCGGAGGGGAAAACGCGGGCTACTAAAACTCGCTAATATCGCTTTAAAAACGTAGCACCCCGAATGCTGTTCGAAAGAGCACTCGGAAGGACTTGAAAAGCCTATCAAGCGCTTACTTCCGGCACAAGCCACTTACTTCCGGTGGCTTCGTGCCTGTTTGCTCAATGAGCCGTCCAGCCCCTTAGTGGTGATCAGTTGCTGCTAACTTCCACCCGAATGATTTTGAGGCTCACGTGTCCGTTCAATACCATATAGGAGACAAGGGTTGCGCAGTACGTACCTTATTCTCAGTGGATTCTCGTCGCGACCAAGCGGCAGGCGAACACGCTGAAGCTCGGCTAGGGTACGCTGCAAAGCGACAAACGCGCGCGTCTTGACGCCGTCGTGTGCTAGCGTCACACTTGTGGTGAGGCTGCAAGACGCCCTGGCGGACGACGCTGACGTGAGCTAGGAGGCGCTGCGTGGGCCATTTACCGATGACGTCTGGGAGGGAAAGGCGCAAACTTGCTCTAATTGGTATAAATGGTTTCACCTGAACGTCCCTCAGCCGCCTGTTCAGGCACATCGAGGCCGCCGCCGAGCGACTCCAAACCCGGACGGAGGACCGGGAGTACACGATCCTCGAGTACCTCCTGGCCGAGAAGAAGCTCGAGTTCGGCGAGATCTTGGCCTTCATGAGTGACTTCGTCCTCGGAGGAGCCGACACGGTAAGCGACTGATAGGCGACCACTCCTTGTGCCGCTGGCATGTGTGCCTAGAACAGGCGACAGTGCTGTGACCGCGTTGGAAGAAGAGAGAGAGAGGTTTCTGAACGAATCCGGTTAAGGGACCGAAATTTTTCTCTGGCTTGGCGCATCTCCTGGCACGGAAATTATGGGTGCCTCGCGAAGGCGCGGTCGCGCGCCGCGTAGCATTAAAAAAAAAATAATAAAAAAAGTGTGCGCAAATCAGTCTTAAGTACTAACGCGTTACTAGTAACGCGTTACTGTAACTTCGTTACTTTTTTTGGTAACTTGTAACAGTAGCGAGATACTTTTTAAGAATGTAACTTGTAACTAGTTCTGTTACTTTTTCTGAGGTAACGATGAAAGTAAAGAGGTTACTTTCGTCGTTACTTTCCAGTTTTTTTATGAATAATATATCAGTGAACGAGTACAATTTAGCTATTCCTTACACTTCCCAAATTGTCTTTTCCGACATTTCGAGTGCCAAGTTGGCCTTGCACAAACTTGTGAGAACGTTCTTTCTCGCGAGTTACGATCCGATTATAGCCACGTGTAGATTTGATGGAAAAAAAATCTAGTTATCTTTACGCAAGCGCTTGTCCGTTGTGACTGAACACTTACATCTTAGTGTCTTGAAGCACCATCTATGTAGCGGTTTTTCCTTTTTCAGGGCAAACGCTTTTTAATCGGGTGAATCAACCGTGAATCAACAACACACGCGGATTGCACTGCTAATATTTCGTATTTTGATTTGCACCACTACTCCGGCGTGGTGTCAACAATTAAGGCAAAATTTACTGTTGTTTGCGCAGGGTTTGTTTCTGGCTTGCCAGGGACGAACTGAAATATGTCCAGGGACTTTATGAACCCAGAGCAACCGTTAACGAGCCAGCAATGTGCTAGTGATACCAAGAATTGGGCATTTGTATTGGGTCCGCGTTTGTTCCCATTCAATTCCTTCCAGCGCTTTATTTTGGTGACTGTTCAGCAAGGGCAGGGACGTGTTCGCCATCAAACGAGGGAAACTTTCAGACAATACATTCGAGAATGCTAGGTCACAATATAAACAAAAGACCGCACTTTTTTTTAAATTTTATGCAATGAAACTTGGGGAGGGGCGTTTTCTAGTTTCTTCTTAATCTTTTTGCTATAGAAAAGTAACTTAAAAGTAAGTTCGTTACTTTTCAAAAGTAACTGTAACAAATTACTCTTTTGTTGTGGTAACTGTAACGGTTAATTTCGCTACTTTTTTTTAAAGTAACTGTAACTGTAACGAATTATTTTTTTAAAAGTAACTTACCCAAGACTGGCGGAAATAGGGATGGTTCTCCCGAGCTCCTTATCATGTGGTGCATCCCACGGCGTTTGCCAGAAACGCGAGCGAGCCTTCGAGATACTGGTTCCACGGCGAGGCGGCGCTGTTCAGACACCCTTATTCCGCAGTGGTTGTGAGTGAACCCAGATTCCGAAGAGAAACGGCAAAACTGCACTGTCGTCTATTTGTTATGACGAAGCAATTTGTTACAACGAATCCTACTTACAAATATGTGTATCTGAACGTATTCCGCAAAGGACATACAAGAATCAAGCTTTTGTGCAGTGACAACCTTGCGCTTGCTGGATGAGCGCGAAAAATGCCCAATATAAACTTTTTTTTTTTTAAATGTACCGCCATCTTTAGAATTGCGGCGTTGACGATGCCTTCTAGAGCTTAAAACGTGAAATACCGGCTGTTTGTGGCAGCACAGCTATCTGGGTAGGCTACGGTAATGTGGGCATGAGGAACTTGACTATGACTTGGCTATAGCCAGCCGGCAACAGCCAGGCGGCGCCAGCAGAGTAAGAGCCCACGGTTATACCCTGTCTCGTTGTAACTTGGCAAAGGGTGAACGATAAGGCCCACATTGCGTGCCGACGGCTTCGAAATGCGCGGCGTATACGAGCATACCCCACACATATTGGAGCGTGACGCAGCGAAAAGCCTGATACTTTTTCGGAGTAGAGGCGCGCTCCGATGATATGCAGTCACGTTCCCATTGGCCCGCCAGTGCCGTAGCTTCCGCTGTACTGGCATGTTACGCGGTCACGGCTTCGTGGGATACCCAGTATATCTTGCTTCAGACACTAGGCTAAGCGGCGCCACCGGAGTAAAAGTTCACGTTTAAGCAATGTAGCCGCCACTCCCAGGGGTACCCAATATTTCTAGCTTCAGTCGCTCGATGGCGCCAAACGAAACAGCATTGCAGGTTGCCTATGGTGGGCTAAAGTAACTTTGTTGGAGCTTGACCAGTTGAATGAAGCTTGGTAACCTTGCCTTCCCGGAAGAACCAGGACGGAGACGGTGTGGTGTTTCGAAGGAATGTATGAGCAGTTTAATGGAGTCCTGGCAGATAAGACCTCGGTATTTGATACCTGCACCTCGAGTGGTGGCACATAGACGTTTTCATACCCCTCACATACCATGGATGAATAGCATACCTTGCAGGGATAACCTAATCGGAGCAGCGACACCGGGTCGGAATCAGTCCGTTTGCCTTAGAAAAAGCAGTCGTGGGCATAAATGTGACGATGAGTCTGATACAAAGCCCTTGCGATTCACGCTTGCAATCGACTGACTTCGTAGATAAGCACCCTCGGGGAACATGTGAAGCTCAATAGCATTGCAGTCAGACCCACGCGGCAGCTTCTTGTGCTCATCTCACACTTCTGGTGATTGATCTTAGGCATATTAAAATTATTTGTGCACCCGACGACAACACTGTGGTGATCAGCCAACCGTAGAGTTTTTGGTAATTTTAACACGGTAAAAAAACAAAAAACACACACACAATAAAACACTCGAAACTAATTGAGGCACGACGTTCGTGTTTAGACATTTTCGCCCATACTCTTGGCGGTGCATACCGTGTCTATGCGGGCAATCCAAGAATGCACAGTTTTGAGGTTCGGTCAGTTGCGGTCTGGTACAAGTTAATATACTAAAGTATTAATGCCGGGGTAGATGGATAGGCATATCACTAAATAGCGTGTAGGTCGAGTACAAACCGAACATAAGGGTGCAAGTGAATTGGTGTATGCGGAACATTTTGAAGGAACCAGAGACTAAGGAACTAGAAATCATAAAAACGTCTACGTGCCACCACTCAAGATGCAGATATCTTAGATGTGTTTGAGACATTCTCCTTCTCTTCCCTTGGTGTGAACGTTCGTATTTTCTCAGTCCCGTGTTACTCCAAAATGTCAAGTACGCACCGACGGAACAGGCGCTTGTTCCGTCAGTGCTTGATCTTCGCGCTCTTTAGTAATGTGCTGGTATGAGGTTATACGAAAAAGGTCTAAGAGGACCCAAACACATATGTGTTTAAGACCAACCGGTTTTGCGCACACGCGGCCATGGTAAAATAGTTCCACATACCTTTTTATACAAACTACTCGAAGATATTAAGCGTACAGGAATCACGAATATACGTTTATTGAACCATAATTGCGATTAAAGGGCGGCAAACACCCTCCATTAATTTTTTTCCTTAAATAGCGCGGAACTTGGATAGTTCGCGCTATTTCTGGGTAGTTTTTTCTGGAAATGTGTTTCAAGTAGGGCGTTGTATTCTGGTTTTCGCTACAACCCTCGATACAACAGAGTTGTAGAAGTGTCTGCAAAAGAAAACACCAACACTTTGCGTTTGGGTCAGCATTGCATGTTCCGCACAGCACTTCGTGCGCATGCGCCGTATGAAGGCAACGCAGCGAGCTATGCGTATGTGCGCGTACACTGCGTGCCCTTCTCGTTACTCTCGTCGCGTGTGGGACAAGGTGACGAGAGCAGTTTGCTTGAAGAAATCTAGATGGCGCTGCAACCCCGTGCTAGTTTTTTTGGTTTTTTTATCAGGCTTCATCTTGAATGTAGAAGTGTACTGTTGAAAGGCTGGCTCCTGTTATGCTTCTCGTAGGGGGGGGGGGGGGGGGGGGCAGGCAACGTGCCGGCCGATTACAAGAGTTCAGCACCATTCATCTATTCATGCATGCGCGGTTGCGTTTTGCAGAACTATAAGTGCTGGTTTGACGCGCTCGGCAGCGTTCCGATGAAAGTTTGCGGGCGTCGCACACAGTGCCAGACAAGGGTCTTTACGCTATCTTAAAACTCTCCACTATTTACAAAGTGTGCCTTGCATTTAAGAAGCTTAATCTCCGAGCTTCCGACCAGCGATTAACGGTTCGCAAGGAAGCGCAGAACGTGAAGACACAGTCGGTTGCAGCGTACCGTGTTCATAACTAGTGATGGGACGAATCTTTATCCGAATCGAGATTCGGAGCCGAATCTGAAGATTCGGAAAGATTCGGAAAAGTAGCCGAATCTCAAGCGATTCGGAAAAGTTCGGAAAGATTCGGAGCGTTGTCATGGTTGCCAAATCACGTCGATGTGTGTTTCAACTTTTCGTGACATTAAATTCACTAAATTCTACAAAGTTCACGAAATAATATTGTAATATAATATCAGAGTAATAAATAAAATGTTCCGCTTTGTTAATATTATTTTGGATGTTTATCGAGAACGGTAGCCTAGCCAGACATCGCGGAAAAATTGGTTTCGGTTCTGGATGACGACCCAAAAAGGCATGTTGGTGCACGCACGTGGAAATACAAGCGCATCACGCATGTTTTCATCGCCGCAAGAGATCGATGCCGTACATGCTGTTCGGTACAGACACATTTTTGCCCATAATTACTGTCGCAGTGGCACACACCACATAAGTGAGTATGCTCGATTCGATTATCTCTAACGAGTGCCCACTGAGGTATTTCTATTGGAACACGGGAAACAATCTGAAACTCCTGGTTAATGCAGGCTTTCCGATTTAGTGTTTGTTTACGAACAATGAAGTTGCGTTGGACACACCCTTGTTGTGTTTCTTTTTCATCAAATAAAGTTCATGTATACAAAACTTGCTGCCGAGAACGGAGAAACGAGTTCCCCCCCGGTG